TAAGAAACATCGATTTGGAACGGTATACTAATATCGACTAATTTGCACTTATTCACTTGTATTTAAATGCAGCTTCACACGGTGATACTATCTCGAGGTAGTTGAATGGCAGTTGAATTGCAGTACTCTCCGCAAGTAGTTACACAGTTAATTTTCTTTCAAGGTATATTTGTGTGTATCAGATGATTTGTTTCGCTATGTGCTCTATTAGTATAAGCCTATACCTATGGTTCAATTCTACCTAGAATCAGCACAATCGTTATTACTTTGCTAGTAGATATCTTATGTAAAGGATCCCACACGCCAACGCGTTGCAGTTCACTTCAATCATATTATACTCCCGTGGGATTGAGTTGGATCTCTGATGGGGTTTTCTTGAGGAAGAACGCGTGGATTTCTACGTTGGTTTTCGGGCGGTGAGCGGCATTTTTTAATTCGCGTTCCCGTTTCAAGGACGCCGCGTCCAGCCGATTTTCGAAATAATTCAGGCTTAAGATACTCGCACCACGGAGAAATATTTGCGCGCGGAGACCAACCTCCTCCTCATCCCGTCCTGCTACACACCGTCCTTTCGGATTTTCGATTCCATCGTTCTCTTCTCTCTTCCTTCCTTTTTTGCTCTGTTTTGTTTCGCCCAACAGACGGATAAAATTCGATATAATCCACCGAGCAATAATAAAAATCATTGCAGCTTGAATGACTCTGCGGTTTTACTTGGCATATCTCTATACCCACCACATATATGCATATTATTATTATTGATCCTTTCTTCCTTTTTTTTATCCTCGACGATTTTTTTTTTGGCAATTTAATCCCAATCTTCCCATAAACTAGACTAGACGCTCCACGAAATGCTTCATTTTTTTTCGTAATCTTCTTAAGAGCAACAAGTTTTACGTTTTCTTGTTCTTTCCACCATTTGCTTTAAAGGATTAACCTTAGCAATTCTTGTTTATTGATGAAAGAAATTGCACGGAATTTAAATAATAATTTTAACAATAATAATAATAATATCGGATTTGCATGAAGGACATACAAAATAATTTTGCAGCGCAAAAGTTATATAATTGTGTGACAGAGCATGATGTCTCAAGCAAGTTATTTGCCATCGGGACCACTTAGAATCCCGCTACCATCGCCCCTAACAATATGATCCCAACACATGAACGGATAATGCGATACGTTTCTTCGTCGGTTATGTTTTTTTCTTCTACTCTTCATTCTTCCTTTTCTTTTTCAATACTTGATTTATGCTTGTATACACTCACTATTTTATACACAAGATACGTATTTGCTCCTATCGAAATGATCGACCCAACTTCCTATATGCGCGCTCCGTAGCGATTTATTAATCGTCATAAATCTACGATAAAGCTAAATACTGATATTGCAGGACATTAAATCACATGTAAAACAATCCGCTTTTTGTCGTAACAGTAAATTGAATTCGCCAATTACCAAAATACCATAGATCAGCAGCTTTATATTTCTTTACCAATAACATCCCAAAAAGATCACGATCACGTCTCAAAAAAAACGTTTAGAAAACACGGAATATTTCATTAGGAAACGCACGAAATCAAATATACCTTCTACTTCTTCTTAATCTTCTTATATATATTTTTTTTAATGGAATACCGTGAAGCAAATGCAGATAAAACCAAACGGAACGCACGGAATTTATTTATTTACTTCTCCGGAATTTAATTTAATTCAAACGCAATTAAACTGCTAATCCCGTTCTCAGTCCATCTCAAGACGTGCTTCTTTCCGTCTTCTTCTTTTTTCGTCGTCTCTTTCACTTTCCTCCTCTCTCCTATTATAATATTAATACCATTTTTGTGATAACAATTTCTTTCGCGAATCGCATTTCCGTTCACGGAAAAATTGTCCAGCCATTAAACATAAACAAAGCGCGCGATATTCTTGCAATTAACTTAACTGTAATATTTAATAATTCGCATACTTCGGCTCCGTCGCTTCTCCTTTTTGCAATTAACAGAAATGATAGTCGGTAAGGAGAATATTGTGAATATGAGGTCGTATATAGACCAAACAATTACATATGCAGTTATGTTTTCAGAAAATACATTAATTTCCTCTTTGTGAATAAAAATGTTTATTTAGACAATTCTACAGATTCAAGTAGGAACTAACAAGATGTAAGAATTCATAATAACTGCACTTTTATTGTTTAACATATATTAAAGTTATTATAATATCATTAATTCAGTAAATACACGATACTTTTTTTTCAAATTTGTAATGCTGTCTGCATTCACACTTGACATTTTATATGGCAAACAGGTATATGAATTCAAATTGAATAAATTCATAATAACAAATAGTAAACAGATCCATAGAAACTAAATATATATAATTTTCATAAAAAATCTTAATATCTGTCTGTTTCATATAATTAACAAAAACATAATCCATGGGTAAAAAGTATAAATAACTTAAAATGTGTATTCTAGATAAGAACCATGTAATTATATGCCAGAAAACTAGAAGTTGAACAATTACATATAAGACAAATGGAAATTAGGCAAAACAATTAAATTCCGGCGTGTCCATTACGTGTCTTTGGAACCTGCACGCATGTCGTTAATAACGTAAAAGAAACTTAATTCATGTTTAATTGATATAATCTGGTATGGTAGCGGAGGACGAGACGAAAATACTGAATAAGTAAGGTTTTAATGGTCGGCAGTTGGGGAAATGTTGCGCGGAGGAAGCAGATAAGGAAGTTATTTATTATTTTCGTATTAAAAACGCGCTGCAATCAAACTGCAGTTAGGAGACGAAATTAGGATCTCCTGAAAAATCTCCGGCAAAAGGAAGTTCGCCAGGAAACTGTTTGTGTTTACTTTCGCAGCAAGAAGCAACATGCAGACATGACATGCATTTTCGTTTCGATCTAATGATAATCATTTTAATTACTACATTTAACGTGAATTCATTTTCTGGCTAAAGGAAACAATTTTCAGCTACTACTACTAATTTTTTTTAAGGGAAAACCGAGAGTTTTTATTTGCAGCTATTTTAACAACGGACGTGTTTTCCATTCCGGAAGAAAAAGCCCATCTTTACGAGCCATTAAAAATTATTATACCTAGCAATAAACCGTCATTTTACACACTTATTTTCACTTAGTTACTGACAATTTCAACATACCTATGGAGATTTTCCTCTCACATTTGTTTCGAATGATTACATAATTTGAAAATAAATCAATACATTTTAATAATTTCATTTTCGGTTAACGTTAAAACAATTTTCTAATGATAATTCATGAAAGTGCGAGTTTAAAAGTAATTGTTGGCTAGGTCAGACCGTAACACTATAAATAAAATTAATTAAAGAAAATAATAATAAAGCGGAAACATTCCAGAGGTCGTGGACATGCGACATAATTTTAAGAAAACTCAAGTACTTGAACTACATACATACTAATTAAACTCATTAAATACAAGACAAGAAACACATAGTTTTGGTTGTTAATATAAAAAAAAGAATCTGCATTATTCACTGTACGAACAGGATATATTAACATTTCTCGAATATATAGAGTTACTGTTTGAATCGATATTTATAACCAACATTACACTTAGATTATTCAATTCTAATAAATTTTGTTAAAACAATAAATTGTTGGTCATTAACTCACAATCGCACTTAGTAAATTCTATCATAAATAAATACTTACTTATTACTGAATAATCCATCTAGGATTGATTTTAATCAATAATTTTAACGTTAGTGAATAATCCGTTTGCGAATTTAGCAGGTAAAGGTCAACCTATATTAAAGTAAATTTATGTTTTCGCCTTCTGTTTAATTTGCACATTTAGATTTTATCTATCATGAATCATTCTCGAATATGATTAGAATATTAATGTGTAATAATTAATAAACGTAACTTTTTTCTTTCGAGGAAATAAAGAAATAAATAAATTCATTTTAATATACAATACAATTTCGTCTTCTGTTTCTGACTATCTGAGTTGACATAAATCAAGAGATGACTGAGGCCAAGAGAAATTGCGCAATTTATATTTTAAATAGAATCGGCGCGACAATTGCGACTTGATTTATATTTGTCGATAAATTACGTTGACTTTGATCTATTTCCATAATAACGTTCGTTGTGCAAGAGGCGTAAGAGAATTGGTGAGATGCCCACGTGACCCGTGCAGCTGAAGACAATTGATTCTCTTAAATTTAGTAAATAGTTTATACGAGATTTTTATTTAATATCATAATGCTGCCTCTGCACTGCGCGTGATTTGAGACTCAAATGTCGATCAGGCATACTAACGTAAGTCGTAAGAGAATGCCCTCGTGGCCCGAGTTGCAGAATATAGTTGTTTCCAGATCACTGCTAATCAATTGTTTTTCGTCTGCTAATTGTTTCTGATGTCGATTTGCATTTAGTGGGCAAATCGATCGCACGCGTGTCCGATTCCTTCACGCAATTACCGAACCGCGGAAACACGCGATGCTCTGCGAATTATTAAAAACGAAAACTTTATTAACCACTCGGTAATAACAGCCTGCCGCCCTTTTTTTACGTGCTTTCCCCCCCGTGCGTCCCGTGCCGCATCATCGTTTCGTGTAATGTAACAGTTCTCAAGAACAACGATCTTCTCTTCTCTCGTCTTCTTCTCGGTGAGGTGAACGCGTGTTGTGTTGCTGGCAAAGTAAAAAAGAATATCTGTGTAACACCTCGGAGAGGCCGAAGAGTGAACGGACTAACGGATGTTGGCTATGTGCATGTATGCACTGTATATATGTGTATATAAATCTTTGTATATGTTTGTATATATATGATATGTACTGGAACAACAATGTACACATTGTTTTATAACGACCAATCAATGCGACTAATCCAGAGCCGCGACGGAACTTCAATAAAACAACTTCATGGCAGATTAAACTGGAATGCTTAAAGTCAATAGCGAAGTTAAAGAGGTCGCGCAAAAACTAATCTAAAACGCTTAAGTGTATTCTAGTTGGTTGTGTTCATTTACCTTAAGAATGCATCTGCCGACCGCCTCGTTCTCAGCGACGGAAACGTTGTAGAAACTCTGATCGAACATTGGCTCGTTATCGTTGACATCGTGGATGATCACAAAAACTTTCGCCGTAGAATTGAGCCTCTTCGGGTAGCCACTATCTTGCGCCACCACCGTTAATTGGGGCACTGGATCTGTTTCGCAGTCCACGTGACCTTTGGTGGTGATCAGGCCGCTGCGGGAATCGATCTGGAACCACGAGGAGTGAGTCTCCGGCGTGTCTAGAAGGGAGTAGGTAATGACAGAGTTGTTGCCCTCGTCGATATCGTTGGCCACAATGCGCAAAACAGAGGTTCCCGGATCGGAAACCTCCATCACGTTGGCATGGTACGTTTCCCTTTCGAATTTGGGAGCGTTGTCGTTGATATCTGTGACTTCCAGATTGAAGGTGCGAGTTGCGTGCAGTGGGGGTGTACCCGTATCCGTAGCCTCGACGTTCAACGTGTAATTCGGCTTCTGCTCCCTATCCAGAGGCAGGGCGACGATGACGAGATAAATGATGTTATCCTGCGTCTTCAGCCCAAAGTGTCCGTCTCCGCCGCTCAGGGTTACATTTATATCAGAGTACTCAGTCTTGGAGTCGGGATCGTTGACTGAAATCCTCGCAACGAACTCCCCGTTTTTAGCGTTCTCAGGTATCTTAGGCGTCGCATCCTCGCTTAAGAAGATCACGTTAATTGTCGGTTGATTGTCGTTCACATCCGTGACTTTGATGCTGACGAACGCAGTCGTCTCCAGCGGTTGTAATCCGCGATCCTTGGCCACAACCACAAGCTCATGCATCTCCTTCGTTTCAAAATCCAAAGGTTTATTTACACTGATCACTCCGGTGGCTGGGTCAATCCTGAACATGGAATGCCGATCGCTCTGTCTTCGATTTATTGAATATTCTATTAAACCGTTATCACCAACATCATTATCACTCGCGAACACTTGTAGCACAGTTGTACCGACGGTCGCGTTCTCCGGCACCGACGCGTTGTACAGGCTCTGATTAAATATCGGCTGATTATCGTTCACATCTTGGATTGTTATGTTAACCGTCATTTCGCCCCGCAGCGGAGGCGTTCCACCATCCAGAGCCTCGATCACAAGGGAATAGGCGGCCGTTGTCTCCCTATCCAAATACCTATTGATTTGCAAGTCTAAATACAGAACGTCGTCCCTTTCCCGGTGCGATGACAGGCGGAAGGCATTGTTCAAATTCCCAGAAACTATATTATACTTTTGTGTGTTGAACAGATCCAAGTCCAGATCTTTTGCTGGATGCAAGGTCCTCTTCACGTCGCGCGGTATATTTTCCGGGAACTCGATGGACATCACGTCCGTGGGGAACTTGGGCGCGTTGTCGTTCTCATCCAACACTTTCACAATCACCTTAATGTTGGAGGAAACGATATTCGGCACCGCTATCACAGAGTAACTCGCAGTCGTCTCCCTGTCCAGAGGAACCTTCGTCTTGATTTCTCCGGTTAGGTCGTCGATCAGCAAATCGGTCTGCGCATTGTTTCCAAGGTACACAATCAGGTAGGGTGGAGAGCAGTCCAGCCCGTCTCCTATAAAACCGATCCTCGTACCAACCGGAACCCCCTCGGAAATCTGCATCTCCCGGAGGTGTTCGCTGCAGCTCACTCCCACCAACAGCCACAGCCACACCAACCACACGAAGGACATCGTGCGGCACATCCAGCAAATCATCACCGCGGAGGCTCACACATCCTGCAAAAATCAATACAATTTCAATACAAATTTTACTATAAATACTACTACAATCTTAAGCAATAAGTCAATAAAAAAAAGTATGTAGTAATCAAAAAGTAGATATTTGATACTTTTGAAGAATTGTGTAATTGGTTACTAGAGTGTTGGATTTTACTAATATATGAACAACAAAATAAATAAATTTCATATTTTCAGAAATATTATGAGAAATATATGATCCCAAGTACTTTTACATTAATATTAATTAACAATAAAATGTTTACAAGTTAAGTAGATACTAGACTAAATTGCCAATTTTTTTTTAAATAAGTGAAAACTCTTCATTTTGTTTTAAGTTTTGTTTTCGAAACGCCAGTAGTTATTTTTTTTTGTGAAAATCCCCATGTATAATCGTAGAACAATCATTAACATAAGAATCTTTCAGTGGACAGCCTCGTAACCGGCATAAATTATTTTTATTACCGTCTTCAAGACTCTCATTAAAGTATTTAATTAATAATGGCTAAGTAGCTTCATGAATTAATAATCGCAGTAAATTTCAGTTACTAGCTCAGCTTCCCAGAAGCAAAATCACATAAACCCATCGCAAATTAATCGGATCATATAAGAGTTTAAAAAACATCTCAAACGTGTCTTCTTATAAACATTTCGAAACAACAGAATATATTTTTTTCAGTCTCAAATAAATTATAGTTTTATTATAGGATTACTTTTTTAAATTTCTATCCTTTAAATTCGAATAAAAAAGCCAATTAGATTTAAATGCTCAAAAATACATATTTTGTTATTTGCAACTGTGTATAAAACAAAATTTGAATAAACATTTCAGATTGCAATTTTTACGAAAATCGTAAATAAATCAACGTTTTCTCTTGTATTATATAAATTATGCAAAACACGTTTTTGTAAATATCAAGCAAATGACTTATGGCGAAGAATGATATTTCACAGCGACAAAACGAACACTTCTAAATATCATTCTTTTTGCAGCAACTTTGCACATCTAATGCTGTTATTCTCTGTATATATATTTTTTTTATCACGTATTTTATTTGATGAATGGAATCAAAGGAACTATAACTCCTCACGAAAACGGTGGTAAATTTGAATTGTGAAAGTCTTAGAATGAAGCAATTTTTGAAAAGAAGTCGTGAAGCCCGTAAACATGCTTGAACGATAAATAATAATATTTCATAAACGCGAAGGGTGTGTTCCTATTTTGTTGAGCGTAGGTCCCATTCCACAAATCGCAATTTAGTTTGGTCTCTGTTTTGAATCTCTCCTCCCGCAAGAAACTTGGAACGTCGTTCAAACTTGAATAATTCATGCGTCCCATTTTGAACACATTTATTCCGGATTGCACCACTCCCACGGAAATTTAACGAAATGCCGCATTAGAATAAGCGGTTCTTGTTAAAATTTAACGCACTGAGACGCGTGGGATTTAATTAAAACACGCTTTCGACGCTGCTGAAATCAATTTAAAATTTAAAAAAGTACTGCACGATTTTAGTGCAAATTGCAAAGCACCGACGTGCATAAAACTAATTTATTTACTTAACATGTAAACACTTAATTATTAATGAATTTTAATGCTATAAAGTTTTGTAATAAGTGAATATTAGTATGTCAGTGTTATATAGCCATAAACATATGGCTTTAGTTAAGCGTACTTTAATAATATCACATAAACAAAATTAATTCCAATTAATAATAAATTAACTAAATTTTCTTAGAATAATCCTATTTTTGTCTTTATTATTTTAAATTGATACAAGAGAGGCACAATTATTGTGGAAATTTTCTCATTTTGGTGATGCTTCTTCACCGATAAATTAGGACTCTATTCCGTTCGATTTTGTATCCTACCGTGCCTACAGCTCTTCTCGCAATTACCGTCGTCCTAACAATAATTTACACTTTACATGGATTCCAGCACACCGAATTCTAATTGAACGATTCTCCACGCTTTTTCATCGTATTACTTCATTTAACAATCCATAGATCGCGGAACTGTTCAACCTCCTTACAATATATATAGTTATTTCAGATACCGTTATTAATTGGCAGACACTCATTTTTTTTCCTGTATTTTGAATAGTGCTTAGTAACATCGTGTTCCATTAAACTAATGGTCGGTTCGTTAAGTCTAATTTGACATTGATATTTTGTAAAACGACATTGATGTTTATCCGATTACCAAGGTAACAGCCTTTTAGGTAAGCAAACAATGGAATATAAATAAATAATTTATGCTTACAATTACATCAAAAGTTCATGTTCAACAACGTTCATATTAGACTAATTACGTTTAATAGCAATAAATTTAATTCTTTGTATAAATCTTTTTTATTAGTATCGGATAATGCTGCAATTAAGTTTATTTATGTGAAATGCAATATTGTTTAATTTATTATAAATAAGCGTACGTTTATATTTATTTTAAAAAATGTTGTAAAAAAGGGATTTTGAGTATAAAGTATTATAGATTACAATTAACAAGTGTAGATAAGGAAGATACTGTGCGGTTCGAAGAATCTGAAGGCAATTAGAATTCCTAAGGTCATGATGGGATTTGCATGGCAACGCGATGCGAAATTTCACAAGGGAATAAAACGTCGTCGTCGTTAAGAATGTACGTTCTTCGTTTCAGTTTATTTATTTTTTAATGTTTAATCCTTGCTTCGCGTCCCTGTTTGTTTCGCGTATCGATATTGATAAGGAATTGAATGGGATTTGGTCGTTATTTAGGAAGAAGATGTTGCCGTTGGCGGTAATGTCTCTATTATCTGGGAGTTTATAGTGCCAGAGCATATCTCTCTTTCTCTTCTGCTCTGCTCATGGCTCGCAAATGGGGGGACGCGACTCCTTTTGCCCGCTTTTAGTGCTGCTCCGAGACTGCAATAATTGCGACGATAATATTAGATAAATGTCGCAATAGAAATTGCTGTTTATGTGAACGGGAGACGCGCATTCGTATAACCGTGCTTCGCAATGCGTTGTTTCAGTGCCGGTGTATTGCAGTGCGTTGTAGTGCGGTGCAGTGCAGCGAAGTTTGCCGACTCGATCGGCGCACTCGCTGCGTTTGGGTATGTATCGTGTATTTAATTTAAATGCTAGCTGTCACATATTTAAAATTTTTGAAGAAGTTGTGAGTGCGGACGGTGTGGAATAGACTGTCTGAATTTGGTAGCTCTCTGTGTTACATTCCATCCTTATTTTTTTGTGGCAGTGGCTCTCTCCGTTTTACGCCGCTGGCTGTTTAGTATATATATGTATGTATGTATACGTATGTAGGATTGTATGTGTGTGTGTGTATGTTTGCCGGTCCCCCTCTAGAAGCTCGACTCTAGAAGCGGTCTTTGCCCGGGACTCTCTTTCTCTTCATCCAACTTACCAGAGCCCCGGCCTCAACCTCACCATCTCTCAGAAAAGATCGAGAGCGTTCAGCGCCGCATACACACACATACAAACACACACCACATATACGCACACAGCATACACATTATTACAGAAAACCCGCAGCTACTCTATAACTTAACATCTAGCGTTATATAACTTCGGAATGGACACGGCTCCTCTAGATAGAATGCAATTGAATTTTCGGTCGATTGTGTATCAGCGCTGCTTTGCAACTTTGTACATTTGTTTTAATCCTTTCACATACATTGCTTCTTTAGAATACATACATTTAGTTTTCAATATTTAAATTTAAATCTCTAAAAAAAATAGATTTTATATAATCTGATTTTTTTTATAAAATCTGATGTTATTTTTCTAGATTTACAATTTCTTCAATTGCAAAATAAATCATAATTACATATAAGTAATTTTAAATCATAAATTTAAGTCTTTGAATCTGTTCTTAATGTAATAGGTCATAGCTTTTTGTATAGATTGAGATGAGAAGTTCATCGTTTTATAAATATTGAAATATATTTAACTTTGAAATAAAGTAATAAAATTCGATTTAGTTGAAACTTTATATAATGTATTGAAAAAACAATGCTAATGAAAGCTCAGATGAGATGTGGTATTTGCGAAAACAGGTTGAGAACCACTGATCCTCTTCATTCTTGCAGACTAATTATATTCGCATGCAACGGCTAAGAGGAGAATATGAGGAACACATCCGGGCACTTATTCCAATTTCGTCTGACTGTGTATGTGCATGTATGAGCATTCGTAATCCCCTCCCCGTTCCTTCACCTCCCTTAGTTGTTATTACATATTTTTCTTTGGCCACTTCCTCGACTCGAGACAGGGCTAATAATAATAATGCCCTACCAACAGCAATCCCGACCGAAAGGACAGGTATATTACGTATACAGCCGCGCTAATAACCCCCCGGAGAATACACACAAAAGGTTCCCTCAAAACATCTACCTTTTTTGTTCCCTTCGTATATATATATATTCCTTTGCTTGTAAATGATAGAAAATCAACAGGGCAAAAAAAAGACAGAGAGTTGTGGTAGAGAAAGAGATATATGAGAAGTGTGTGCATGGAAATCACGTTCTGGGAACGCATCAGATGGACCCACAACAAACAGAAAAAAAAAAGATGATTTCATAAATTTATTATTCTGTCTAGATTACCACAAACTGCGTTCTGATTGCATCAAGGTATATAATTGTGTATAAACAAGTAACTAGAACTAAAAGCCTTTTTATATGACAATCACGTTTTTCCCGAATGCGTTTCACCATGTCCGGAGCACTTGAAATTATTGCAAGAAGCAATTTTAAATCCATTCAAGAATATTCACGACGCTAATTATATAATAACTCTCGGAGGGATCATTACGTCGGAATATTAACATTTTCACTCAATAAATCAAATTGTTTTCATTAAATTAACCGTTTTGATTATTTCTTACTTTTATTTTTCCAAAGAATATCTATTTACATTACTTTTCTTTTCTATCCATGTGTATGTTAATCGCGTCAATTAATGCATTATACATATTTTCAATAAAACGTTAAACGGAAATGATATACATACACGTAACGAATCGCCCAAGTGCATCGCGCAAGAAATGCATTAAAGCAAAGATTTTCCCATAACATATTAAACTCGATTTATTGAAAACGAATACATTTCAAAATCGCAATTTACAAAACAATAATCATTAAAACCATTTATTGTTTAATCAACATAACTTATTTCTTTTTAACTTTAGATGCGAACTGGTAATTGTTTTATCTTGTAAACACTTTAACGTTTACAAATTATAAGAAAATTAATATTATTGCTCAAAGATACGAGTTCCTTAATTAAGAAACTGCTTTTATAATTATAGAAATACAATCAATCATATGAAGTTAATTAATTATGAAAATGAATATTATTTAGGTATAAATTAAGATAACCGATGAACGCAGCTTGTATTTAAAATTTCAATTAAGATTAGCTTTCATGCGGACACATTATACCATTAAGATATAATAGTTTTGTTCTATTCCATTTTTTTTTATTGGGATCAAATACTTGTCTAGATGTAAACCATTATTTCTTGAAACCAAAGCAGATGTGTGTGAGTGTGTGTACCTACAAGTAAATAATGAGCAATTTAAAAATTTCCTTCTGTTCCTTAAGAAAAGTAAGAAATCCAGAGAAAAAAAAAACATATCTTAATTAAGATAAGATTTTTTACCTAGCAGATGTTTCAGAAAATAAAGTAAGTAAGTCATTTCTACGTTAATTAGGTAAAATTAAATTGGATTTTGATGTTTCAAATTCTAGTTATACTACATGTATTATTTATGTTTTTTTTTTCTATCCTCCACAGTTTTTTAATCTCTTCTTTTACGATTCAGTTAGAAATAATTTTAAAAAATTAATTACAAGAAATTTAATTTTTTTTATTATAATTTAATAATAATAATAAATTGCAAAATAAAAGAAAATTTTGAACGAAAAAATCCTAATACTAAAATTTTAAGAAGAATCAGACCTACCACATAGTATTAATAAATAAAATATAATTAATATTTATAAAATTATTATGCTAGCTTTAAAACAAATAATATCTTTCATTAATTAACTTAATGTTTTCATAGTGATTATTTGTAAATAAACTGAGATGGAATTAAACGTAACATATTTCTTTTAAGAAGTTTATCAACTTTTTAAATAATTTTATATAACGTTCATGTTTCAGATGTTTATTAACAAATAAATTCATTGAATATTATCATCAGGTAGAAAAATAAATAAATTATCGTCTTTTTATAGTTAGATGTAAATTCACATTCAATTTCAATCAAATAATGAAAAATCATGAATTGAATATAGAAATACCCACTAATATTTCATTGTTCTATTTTCCAACAGTAAACAGACTCGTTTTTTTTTTGTATTTTTCGGCCTCAGAAATAATTCTCACATTTAAATATGCGTGTTTCATAAAGATATATTCATGGTTTGAATGTATAATTTCGAAAAGCTCTCGTGAAGATTACAGATAATATGATGTGTGTATGTTGTAAGAGACCGACTGGAAATATATGTATATTAAACGCCATACGCTCGGTGATAAGGTGAAGCTCGTTTTTTTTCTTCTTCTTTCAAAATGCACAAATCTAATTGGATCTTCTGCACGCATGTAAAGCTTAATTAATTAGTTTACAGAAATATCTATATATAAAATATAAATCTTCACAAAAAGACAATAATAAAAAGCGGCTGTTAAAAATGAAAACTCGTTTCGAAAAAGTTTATAGCTCGTAATTAAATATTTAAGAGAAAAATGTTTTCGAGGCGAATAACATTAAACGGAGCGAACCAAAATAAAAAAAGACGGCCGAAGGTGGAAAAAAAACCAAACGATTTGGCGCAATTGAAAAGCCGATTGCGTAATTACGGATTCGTATAGGAAGGAAATAAATCGTGTAGAAAATATGGGTTTCTGTATTCAAATTTTTATCGGTTCTTCGATCTTTCCGTAAAGAAACGCTCGGACGTGCGTGTTTTTTTTTATTATTATGTGAATTTTGATTCGATTGGTAAAATAAATAAGTAAATTGATAGATTTTTACGGTGAATTATGGTCGTTTGTGGACGAGGGAAAAAAAACTGTATTAGATTATTTAATTATGTTAAATTTATGGTATCTCTCGCTTGGGACAATTTGAATAATTCCATCGTATTAAATGGCTTCAGGAGATTTAGCAGAGGATTTCCAGCCCCGACGCGAAGGATGTTTTATTATTTTTTTTAATATTTATTTCATTATTATTTCTTTCTTCCTTGTTCTTTCAGATACACAGCGCTGAGAGTTTATTTGTTCTCTTGGTTCTTCTTTGTATTTAAAATAATTTATAACTACTCTTAAATAGAGATTAAAAGATGTGTTTAGATTATAGAATTTGATATGTAATTTATACTGGCTCGTTGAACAGCTCTAAAACACATCGATCCAGCTTTATCGAAGGGAACAACCCCACACGGACAGACGAAATGCATTAGTTTTTCAGGGAGGGTTCGGCACATATTTCATGCCCTTTTCCATCATAATCTAATCTCAGTTTTTTCCCCTCCGAAGGGTCTTCACGGCCGTGAATTTTACCTGGCGCGATGCTAGATGGTCAAGGAGAGAGGAGAGGCTGCTGCTTCTTCCTCTCTCGCGGCGTATTCGGAGGAATAAGTTTAAAATTTAATTAAAAACATTCTCCTTCCTCTTGCGGTGCTTATTTTTTTTTCTCTTGTTCGCCCCTTTTCTATTTCGCTGTTCCAAAAGTCTTTAGTACTTTTAGTAATTGTGGTTTTGCAATTTGTAAATTTTATGGTCGTCGAACGACGTGTGTGCAAGAGGAGATAATTAAAGAGCCTTGCTTAGTAAGAAGGCTGATGTCGGGTAGAAGAAGTGAAGGAACTGCTGCTGCGTTCTGTATGCACCGCTCTCTCCGTCTCTCGACGAATGCGTGTGCTGTTGCTGCTGCAGTCTCGACTCTAAGAATATTTCAAATCAATATATTTATTTCTCATTTTATGGCCGATGTGGCAATAATTAAGTTAAGACTAGTCCATTAAAACACAAGAATACCAAGGCTCTTAAAAACGAAACAGGTAATGGCATTGTCGCCTCGGTGTGTACATCTATAAAAGCACCAGAGGAGTAGAAGATGAGGAAGAAGAGGACGAAGAAGATGAAGCAGAAGAAGAATAAGAAGAGGAACGAGTCGTAGAGGAGGCGGAATCTCTATCTATCCACGATTCGAATAATATTATAAAATCCACATTTCGTATGTACTTCTCCAAATGAATTTACAATCCGGCGTTGATTCTTAATCAGCCGTTAAACCCGAGCGCTCTTGGGCAATCTTTGATAACGTGATTATGACACGTTGTTCGCTCAAACAGACCAAATTCGCTATGACTGACTTTAGTACTACGTTGTACTTATCCCAAAATCAATTGTAACTCCAAATAATTATGCACTTTATCACTTGAAACCATCGATGATATATACCTTTAAGAATAACAAACACTGGGATCGTAGACGCACGCACATTTGGTTTAAACAATAAACAGAAGGCAACTATGAATCTTGGAATGGGGGTAAACGCGCGCGTTTGAACTGTAGTACTGCTAACTAACTAACAAACAAACTAACTAACTACGCGATACGATGGACCCGGAGGACAGAGGAATCTGCGGAAGGTGTCGCGCGCGAGCACTGGCTTTTATGCCCGAAAAATCCGCGTTCCTCCAACGAAAAATCAATTGCAAATGCAGAGGTTGTACTGTTTTTGTTGTTCTGCAAAGAGTTGGTCGGTGGCACACATGTGCGGTGCGATGGCCGCGCCAACGTATCAACCAGCTTCGTTACTTAAGTCGGACTGAACGAGTCTCTGCATTCCAACGGGCCCCTCCTTGCCCCCCAGAAGCCCCGAAGAACTAACCTGCTGAGTACCTGTACTAATACCAACCTAACAGAGCGCGCACCTTTTACTCACCAAAAACTACTCGCCTCGCCACTCGCACACACATACACACACACGCTCACCGCTCGCCACGTACACACACACACACATAAACGCGCGCGCTCTCCGAGATTTTTACTCCTCAAGAATCCCGATGAACACACCTCCCCAAAACTATTTCCAAGAACCGAGAACGCGAATATCATCATCATCATCATTATTATCATCATCATCATCATCATCATCGTATCGTCCTGGTCCAAGCTCTCGTCCTGCCGGCGACCCAAAACAATACAATTTGCAAACTCAAATTTCCCCGCGTTCCGCACTTAATTACATAATCCATCATCAAACACTGGCTGCTGCTTATTTGACTCTCTTCGTCCGGATGCAGCGCGGTCCTCCACGATAGTGCACACAGATTGATGCATTTGTGGACTTTTAAATGTTTAAATGGCAATTCCAAAAATAGACGCGCATTTGCATTTCAAAATAACAATATTTACGGAAAACAATAACCCTACCTAACGTCCAAATGTATGCCATTATGTGAAATTTGAATATGTTAAAACTCGTGCCTTGTTTTCCTTCTTCACTCATTTATACCCATTCAAGATATACCATTATTTTGAAATGTTAAACATTAAACTAATTACTACTATATTAACTAATTTCAATATAAAAATACATATATGCGTTCATTTTAATATTTATATTAAATCTTGAATTTGATCGAAAATTCAATGCTCGCATAACTAACAAACCCATTTGATATTTTATTAAATAATTGCATTTTTCTTTTTCTAATTCATAAAACATATTAATATATAAATCTAAATATATTTTAGAGCACTATTTCAAGAATATGAATAAGTATTTTATAGAAAAATAATGGCAAATTGAAAATTCAATGTTCGTATAGACAACGAACCCATTTATTTTATTTACTAATAGAACTATGCACTAAATTTAAATATTAAATTTAATATTCTCATTTTTCGTAATTTTTAGATATTTATGAAAGTAAAAAAAAATATGTATAATTTTCCATTTACAAATTTAAATTATTTTCACACAACTATTTTTAGACATATTTTATAAAAATAAATACAGGTATCCCTCGACTTACGAACTAGTTCCGTTCCAAAGGGTTGTTTGTAAGTCGAATTTGTTCGTAAGTTGGGGAAATTTTAAAAATTTCAAAATATATTTGTCTTACCACACTTTATCATGGTTTTTACTTTTATATATGCTAAACTCCATATTACTGACTGTATAAATTTGAAAAATAGATTAAAATAAACAAAATACTTACAAATACTTTTCCATGTAGATATCTCAATTATTTAATACATCTTCCAAAAATATTAAATTTTATTAAAGAATTTATCAATTTTTGTTTGGACAGTTAATTTTTTATCACTATATATCTGCTTGTAACAAGTTAGAGCTTTTAGAATTTTATTTGTAAGTCGGCGGATACCTGTAGTAAATGCAAATCTATCTATTAAAACAAGTAAGATTTTTTTTTATATTTCGATAATAAAGATTTTTTAATAATAATAATAATTTATTGGTCAAACATCAATACATAAGAAAAAAAGTACATTCTATACATAAATAAATTATAACATAAAATAAAAAAGGGTCTTTCTGATTTTTTTAATATTTTCAAATTAATTATTTTTTTGATTTATAAATAATTGTAAATTATTGATAACTTTTTAATTGAATCAAAAGTATTTATAAAAATTTAATAGAATTAAATTTGAAATTTAATGCTCGAGTAGCCGACAAACCCATTTATTTTATTTTCTAAAATAACAATACAATATGCAACATTTTAGAGTTTATTGTAAAACCAATTAATTATATTATCTGAAGTAAAACCGAATTATAAATTATGGGAAAGTTTATTATAAATATAATGTTTATAGTTATAGTTTTTAAATTATATAAATGAAAATGCATTGTAGAAAGAACAAATTGTGTATAGAAATGGATGATAAACCCGCATAGAATGTATTATCATCAACTGTTTTTCTTTACATGTTTTTTTAATTAATAACACTAATGGAAAAATCAATACAGGTAAACCACACAAACCCGCATATACATGTGAAACTTGATGTTTTCATGTACTTCAATCTATTTATTTTTTTTCACATTGCTAATATCTTGCGTGAAATCAATACAGGAATAGAACACAAACCTCAAGTAAAATTTTAAATTAATTGATATAATGTATAATAATCATTTGCACATTTTCATATAAATGGAAAATATATTAATATATTTAGTTTCCTTATTATTAAAAAAAATATTAAATATGCTTATATTTAATGTCTTCTATAAGACGTTTTAATAAAACACAAATTCTTAGTAATTTAATATTTATGTAAAAATTAATTATTTATATTATATATTGAGTGAAGTAAAAAGTTTTGAGCGTTTTTCGTTAGTTGGCCATATCTCACGATTTCATCTTGTAAGTCTATACTGCAATTTAAAGGCGACATAACGCTTTAAAAAAAATCTTTGACAGTTTTGTCTTTAGTTAATGCAAAATGGAGGTAAAAAAGAGTAAATTCGATAAATTCTTCTGTACCACTACGACCAAGAGGAAAAGCGGAGCAGGTGGAAACAAAATTGTGTTGGTTATCGACCCAATATAGTATCGAATGCGTTGGTTCCAATGCTTTCGTTCTGGTAATATGGACATCGAAGACCAATCGTCGAAAATGTTGATAAAATCATGGAAATCGTAGAGTCGGACCGGCATGCGAGCACTTAGTCATTTGCCCAGGAACTGAAGATTAGACAGAAAACCGTTTGGACATTTGCATAAGGCTGATCTGAAGATGTATGAGACAAAACGACCAGAACTTTTTACTTTACCCAATATATGGAATATTAATAAATTTCAATAATTGTCTGAAGATAATTTAAATACTACTATATTAAAGTTTGTCTTTTTTTTAGCTAAAATGAAATAATAAATTACAAACTTAATATTTATGTCTATATAACTTATAAACTCAAATACATACTGAAATTCAATGCACGCATCGACAAGAAACCCATTTATTTTATTTTGTAAAATGAACTTTGAAATGAAATTCTTAAATAAAAACAATTTAGCATTAAATGTTTGATAAAATACTTAAATCATTTATTTTTATATAAACTTTATTTAAAGTTGATTCCAGTTGATTTTAGTGTTATGTCCATGACATTCATATAAAATTACACGTAAATAAAATTACAAATCAATCTCTTCAAAAAAATGGTTAAAATGTTCTTTTATAATATTTTTCTTTATCAATATCATTAGAAGTAATATTTACCTTACTATATTCGCCTTTCTCGCTACTTGATCAACCCACCGTCAAACCCATCATTACCTCTTTCTTTCCTTTTTTTAAATTCTAGACCGCATCCCTCCCTTGATCCTATACATGAGTGCTTTCCAGAAAATGGTGAGCAAGCGGAAACGGTTGAATATCTAAAAATAAATTGACTGTGAAAACGAAATCATTAGAGTATATGTTTTGCTTATAACAATTCTTGTTAGTTTTTTTATTGATGCTCGTAAATAGTAAATACTCGGAAGCAATTGAATATCTTAAAAGTAAATTTACTGTGAAAACAAGGCGTACACGCAATTTTGATAAAGTTAATGTTCAGTAAAAGAAAGATATAATAATTAAAGTAATTAATTACATTCATGTGAAAAATTTCAAACAGTAAATTATTTTTTTAAAGTAATTAATTATGTGCTCTAAATCAGATCAATTTATTAAGTAAATAATTTAATTTAATTTTAAATAGTTTTAAAATTAATAACAATTCGTAAATAAATTGATCTATAATTCGATAACAAACAAACCTACCTTCATTGAGTATATTCAAATAAAATCTTTTTTTTTAAAACTTTTATTATTTATTCACAATTTGCCAAATCTCTGGCAATAAGTTGAATGTTTTTTGGCCAAGACAAAGAAAAAAGAAAATAAAAACAAAAAAACAAAAAAAAACATGAAGCGGAACGATAGGAATCTTCCTATAAACAATTATAAATTTAACTAAAAAGAAATAATTCGATAACAATAACAACCCAAATAAAAATTGATTTTGACGACACTATGAACTTTAAACAATAAAACTAACTTTTGTTTTCTAAAGGGAAGGTCGAGTGTGTTGTGTCTTTTTAGTATGTGGGGGGGTGTCATTATTGTCTAGGAGGGATAACGCGAGAATTAAAATCTTAAACATACATTTTCAATATTTAACAAAACTATTTATTGTGTGTAATGAATGGTATAATTCATGTGATTCTTTACAATTGAAATGACTAAGTAATTTGAATATTTAAGGTAAAGTCTTTAACACTTTAAACATACATTTTCAATATTTAACAAACCTACAATTGTGATAATTAAACTATCTGTATCGAGTACAGTGAATTGTATAATTCATAGTGATTCTTTACAATTAAAATGACTAAGTTCAGTCATTTTGCGTATTTGAGGTAGTGTTTAAAATCTTCATAATAAATTATCAATATTTAACAAACCTAGAGT